GTATGTAGATTGCCTTTATTACAAAAAATATTTTTTTATTGACAGTTACATGTTTTTATCCATTAACATTTCGCATTTATATGTATTAGATAATTATTATTGCGGTAGTGGTGATGGTGATGATGACGACGATGATAATAATGATGTAGAGCATGATAACGATGACCAAGACGACAAAGACGACGATGGCGACGATAATGATGATGATACTGACTGTGACCATGATGGAGAAATTATAAGAAATATAAGTAAAAAGTACCTACATGAACACCAAAACTATGAATAAATTCAAATAAAAAAGAGCTTTGACTAATTGGCAACTCCAAAAACATTATCATACAACACGAAACTCCTGAAGTTCTTCAGAAAGAAATCAGATAAATATGATTGCGAAGTCAATGAAGCTCGCCTATCTTGTTAATTTCTAGAACATTTCTCACTAAATTCGAACTGGTTCGAGATACACTTCGTTCACCAAGAAATTTCCAGAACTTACAAAAGTATATTATGTAATATACAGCTAGAATTTTCAGTTCAAGGAGCAATCAATAGAAGAAAATAATTATTGCTGCTGACATGTATGGGTGAAACATTAAAATAATTAATATAAGTGATAAAAGTAATTGAGAAAGATTTACGAAGGGAACGAAAAATACACAAAATGAAACAAAGAACTGTCAAGATGAAATGAGGGAATATTTAAAACAAGGAAATGAAAAACAGTTAGGATGAAATGAAGAATCGCCAAAATGAAAAAAAGGAAGATTCGAAAATGGAAATAAACAACAGCCAGAGTGATATGGAGGGTGGTTTATAAAAAATGAAGAACAACCAAGAAGAATTAAGAGTAGAAATGAAGAATCATTGCTTATGTACAAATTATTAACCAAAATCTCGTCTTACTAGAATTTTAATGTTACTTGGGTCTCCGTAACTGTTATTTCCCTGTTGATTATTGTTTTTTTCATTGACCTCTTGACAACGTATATCTCCCTTCGTCCAATGTATACTTTGCCATAATCACACAGTGTTGTATACAGCAGGAACTTGCAAAGCATCGTTCCTGCAGCTCGTCTTGAGAAAAGTTATCTTGTGTGTATTGAGATGTTGATTTTATGTTTTCCAAAGTATCGACCAATCTTATTCTTCTTTCTGATGGCTCCTTCCATATATCTGTCACTATATCCATATTCCCTGAAAGCGAAGGCAACGTAGTTCTTCATAAAAATATTCCAATTCACAGATAGTGTGTGCTGGATGCACTGAGCTGTTGAAGTTGTCGTGAGAGATGAGACTCAGTTTTCAAATACTTTTGTGCGTTTGTTGCCTGTTGTGCCCTAAGATACCATCTGATTGGTCCTTAAGAGGATCAATCTAGAAGTAAAAGAGCACTGTTTTCATCTAAATCCATGGTAAAGCTGATGTGATGGACAATAAACCCATCCTCCATATATCTAAAATAACACTTAGGCTTTAATGACTTCTAGATTTCTCCTCGAAGCCTTTCACGCAGATTTTGACCATGGATGAGGATAAGATTGGGATATAGCTACTTCTCCAATTTATTCATAAAAGTGAGAAGACAATGCACATTTTTTCCAAGAATACTAAATTTTCAACTTTGTCTTATGCGAGGAGCCTTCGATGAAATTCTTCCGAAGCTTCTTTGATTTTATTGTGAACAGCGAGGCTAAAGCCAAAATTCTTTAGAATATTATTAGAATTTAACAGATACCTGTAAAGCAAGTCTTGTGTTTAACCATCTTTCTAAGTACAGTGATTATAAGGAAATACCGAATTTAATTTGTACTGATTGCGTTTTTATTTAAATGAATCTCAATGCAATGTCGCAATACACGCTTATCACGGATTTTCACACATAAATAAGAAAAATATAAAAAATGTTACAGCTGCTTGTACAAATCTTGATTGTTTCTTTACGTTTCAAAACATGAATATAGCTGAAATTCCTTTTCCATATTGAGCTAATGCAAATGAAAATATAATATTTAGAACACTGAATGCAACAACTATTAAGTTTGTCATATACAAGTTAACCAGAACGATACTGTGATGGCCTTATCGTCGAATTTATTTTGCAATTGTTACAAACGTGAAATAGTTTAAGCAGAAATCCTGCTTCGCACACATGCATATTTTAAATCAGGCCTATTTTATTAACAGTTTTAAATTTGGTATGCAATAGTTTCCCATACAGCAAGAAAATCCACATGCAACGTTAGGTCTCCTTAAATTATTTATCTTGATAGTTTCGGAATAAAATTTAAAAGGAAAGAAATTGTTGAATTATTAATGTGGCGGTGGCAGTTTATTGCATGCAATGCGTTGTTACATAACTTTAAAAATGTATTTGCACTCTTTTAGCTTCCCGACATAACGCGGAACATGTGTACGGTTGACAACAACTGTATATCGAAGAAGCACCTAATGCCGTATTTTTATTGGCATCCTATCTCACTGACACTTCAATTATTGAAATAAATTCGGTATACGAACCCAATTAGCGGTTTTGTTTTCTCTTCAAGTTGGTTAATATCTTTTAATTAAACAAATATAGTTAGTTTTTTCATTATTTTAATAATATTTGGAGTTTATTTATACCTACAGAGTGTCCAGAAACAAATGGGTTACATTTCAAAGGCAACTTCCTTGAATGAAATTAAAGATGTAGATCAAGTACAATTTTGCTTGTTTAAAAGGTGAAAGTATTTCCGATTCCAAAAATACATTGTATAGAAGAAAAATTCCAACTTTCCACTTTATAAATTACAGAGAGCCACCTTTCGCTAAATTTGTACTTTTATTAAACTTGTTTAAATTCGATAAACAAAATAATAAGATTTACAAAAATGCACAATTAAAAGTAGATTTTACAGAGAACTGCGTCGATCGATATCTAGGAAAGCACTGCTCCAAAAAATTTGAAAATTTGACAACATGGCAATGTCCCTAGGACAAGCACAACTAAAATATCTTGAATTCTCCAGCACTTCCGGTTACACCGGAAGTCGACACCAACTTCGTTATTTTAAATGGAACACCCTATATATTATTGCATTTTCGTATTCTATGTGAAATTTGAGGGTCACTTTATTCAATATTCCCTATACCTAGGAGTTACAGATTTCGAGATATTAATTTTTAAAGAAAAAATTTGACAGATGCAAGGGTCCGTGGAAATGCTAGTAATTCTTTTCAGAAGCATGATATTAATCGGATTTTTGGTACCTATAAAGGGCATAGGTAACGCTAAATTATGGTATACCAACAAATTAAAACATTTATTACTAGGTGTTTCATTTTTGCTGTTACATTTTGATAAATTCAAACGGCTATAACTTTGTTAGCTTAAATGGAACACCCTGTATTTTTTTACTCTGTCGTATGCAGATTGAAATTTTCTTTCAAGCTATATAAGCATTGTTAGGGTTGCTGTTACTACTTTTAGAGATATTTACAATTTTCTATTTTTTTAGACACTTTTTTTCGTTGTCAAATTGGCCATGACCAGAAACATTCCAAAACAATTAAAATAATTTGACATTTGTCAAGTTAGTTGTCAACGCAAAAAACCCTATCAAATTTCATAGAAATATCTTACCTTTTAAGTAACGCTAAAAAACGCTTATTTGTAAACTACCTATAATTTTCTGAGTATTATTTAAATTTAAATTTAATAATAAATTTTAAATATTTAAATTTTAACCCTGTTGTAATTTTTCTAGGTGCCAGTTTTTGAAAAATTCTATATAACTAAGGCATTAATTCAGAAAAAATAAAAGAATTGAGATAAATGGAAAATGTATACTTAGTTATAGGGGAATGTTATATTTTTAAATTTAATTATGCAATATATTTCGGATAAATGCCATTACAATTTTTCAAAAATCGACACCCATAAATGTGTTTCTAAGGAAGCAGAACAAATTTTGAACATTCTATTAATATTTATTTATTTATTTATTTACTTATTTATTTATTCCAATGAATAAATGAAAAATATTTTCGTAAACTGGCACATTTTATTTAAGAGCAACAAAACTATGTACCTACTTTGTAACAAAACACTTACGATGTTAGATTATTATAAAGTTGTCCCCTCCATTGTGCAAAAAAAAATTTATTTGAACTATTATTTATTGCCGAGTTGAAATCTGATTAGAGACGGCTTCAAAAATTGCGAATTTAAAACAGCACAAAACCAGTTTGTAGGTTAACATTCCTTGATATCAGACAATTGAAAAATGTAATTAATTGTTATCTTTCCTGAATATTTATAGTCGTCTCTTTATTTAAAATATTACTGTAATAGTAAAAAATATTTCTGTAATAACCTTTGAACTAATTTATTAATCCAAGAGGTAAGGTTAGATAAAAAAGTTCGTATATTTGTTGTGTTTGGTTTTAGTTTGGTAGTATTAGAAAAATTAAACAACAGTATGATACTCACAATACTTCAATTTAAAAAATGAGAATGTAATTAAAAGGTTGTGTTACGTTATGATTGCGCCTCGTATAATTTTTGACCTTTATTCTGTTAAAACTAAAACCTAGAAAATAATACATGAGCAGCTGTTCCCAATTTTTAATCTACACACAAAAAATAACGTAGAATTATTTTGATTTTATGAAAATTATTTAAGAAGAACGACATTACGTGTCTGTAAAAGTGGTAGAAAATAGCTGCCATTATATCACACCAGTCCGATGTAAAAGAAAAGCTCAACATCGTGTTATTAGTCCAATATTTCACAAAGTTCAATTACTTACGGCCGCTCAAAAAAATGTAGATACGTACTAGGCTGCATAAGAACTATTTTATATATACCCATGCACTTATTGTGCATCTTTATCCTTAGCATTGCAAATTCAATATATCGTCCTTATGCAATTTTGTTCTTTCCCCCACCGCTTCAACCGCCTTCGTACATAGCTTTCTTATACATACTACTAAGATTCTCAACTGTTTCAAACTGAAATCATAGATATCTATGGTTTAAAATGACCATAATAATAAAAGTAATTTATCACCACCACATACATACGAGATAATGTTAATAAGAATATTTCAGTGCAAAAAGTTCACACGTTAAGGAATTTTTCAGTGGAAACACATTTAACTAGTGAGGTTAGAATATGTGATTTTTATGTGTATCAGTGTATAAATTGGCTTCTAACCATTGGTGATTAAACAAACTAAATGTGGTTGAAAATATTCAGTCATTGTCTACGATTTACCTCAATTAAAATTATTTATTTAGAGTTATTTCAGGCACTACATTCGCGCGCAAAACGAGCAAGTATTTTTTTTATTATTATCTTTCACATACAGTATTTATTTTGTAAATAGTACTAAACCCTTAAATATAGATTAAAATTTTGTAGAACATATTTAAACGTAATTCTTTTTTAGAAACCCAACAAACTCACACGTATAGAAATAATCAATAGTTTTAATATTTACATAAATAAAATCTTAATTTCATGCACATTTATAATTGTATATATAAGTTTTTAATATCAAAAAAATGGCAGCAGAGTATAAAGAATATTGTTGAGGTTTTAGGATAAAAATAGATTATTTGTACAGCCATCTTGTTTTTTATATTAACAGTGGAAAAAAATAACCAACCATTTTTTACGAATCCATATAGTCCCTCCCATAATTTTTTATCAGATGTTTGCTTAGCACTTATCTCCTTCGAAAAAATTAGTTATAAGCACTAAATTAAGGATATAAAAATCATTCGCTCTATTACAAACATTTTATTTCGACTCGTAAAATATTTTTCCTTTTTTTAAAGTTGGCAAACTTAAACTCGGGGTTTATTTTTAGATATCTTTTGTTGAAAATTAAATATTTTCCAGAACTTAAATTAATGTGGCGAAAAAAACTTAACAGAAGAAAAAAAGTGTTGCATCAGTTTATAAGTATTTTGTAATTTTGGAAGCTCTGGAAACTTGATAATTACAGGAAAACCTTTTTCTATGTAAGTTACCACTATTTGCATTTTCTTATTCTTTTTAACAGTTGTGTTGCAGAAAATATGGCTATAAACTTTCTAATATTAATTATATTGTCCTATTACCAAAGGAAACCGTTTCTTGCTGCTTTTATTTCATTAACATCGCTTTTTAGCACACAAAATTGAAGTTTCATTTGTTGAACTAAATTAAATACGAGGTACGTGGATATACATATATCTAATCAATCAAATTGGACTTATCGGCAACTTACTCCCAAGCGTCTACTTATCTTCCGATTAGTTACCGCATTTTTTTGGACAGTAGCATTTTCATCTTTCTATTTTTGGCACACAAATATTGCTTCTAATAAAAATATAAAAATTCACATTTTTTTTACGTATGTTTCAATTATATTTTTCCTTCATTCAATGGTTTAATAGCATTTTATATAATTGTAGCATATTTTTCAGTTGCGAAATAAAGGTAAATATCATCAAAACTAGCTAAAAAACGGCCATCTAAATTTACTATTTCTTACGAGATATCTTTCTGAAAATAGTTAAAAAATAATAAAAGAAAGAGTAACATTTTAGTTAGGCTCATGTTTAATTGAATACCAAATTTAACGAAAATAAGCATACAAAATACTATTTTCGTTTCCCAAAGATAGTAAATGTTTATTAAATTTTGTACCATATTTAATCTTAGCGTATGAACTAGATATTTACATTTTGTTGCTGTATTATGTAACTTGCCACTAAAGAAAGACTTTTTTTATTCAAACAACTAAAAAATGTATTCTTTTTGGAAAAAAAATTTTAGTAGCAAATAATGTAGTAAATGACGATAAATAGATGCCTATATTAAAATTGCAATAATTAGTATCTCTGCTTCTATAATAAATACATATGCTGGTCTGAAATAAATAAATATCAATAAATAAATAAATATATATAATTGTAAAAATTGTGGTACTGTTTTCAATAGTTAAATATATATAATTAAAGGAAAATAGGAGTACAGAAAAATAGAAACAGCAGTTTAGAATTACTATTTCTTGCGAGATAATCTTTATTTCCATTTTTCTGAAAATTTAAATAAAATAAAAACAATGTATTTTGATAAGAAACAATTAAATTCTAATTCTAGTTTGTAATAACACAAAATAATAAGTTATTTATGTGATACTTCTGAAACGTAGCTTTTCCTGCTTTTATAGTATTTTACAATTAATCATTTAGTATATATAGTACCTAATTTTGCAAAAAAATGGCGTTAATATTAATATTTAAAAAACACTAAATAATTTTAAAACTTATGATGTATTTTTGAAATGCGAAGATAACCTAGGTACAAAATATTAATAGATTTTGTTTATTTTTCATGTAATCATTATTTCTATTTTTCTGAAAATAATTAACAAACTTATGATAGGAAACATTTCAAATTTTAATATGTAGTAACATGCAAAATAACGCTAACTTTCATCGTTTATTGGTGTTTATGGATAGTAAGTTTTTCTATATTTTTATATACACTTATTATTTGAAGAAAAATTAAAACAAATAATACTTAGCTAAAAAACAGCCATGTGGGTTAACTATTTCTTTCGAGATAATGTTTAGTTCCATATTTCTGCAATGGTTAGAAAATTTATTTTGATAATAAACAATTAAATTTTAATTTGTTGTAATATGCAAAATAATAAGTAACACATCTAGGTGTCGCCTTTTTATTGATATTTATAAAACGTGACTTATTTGCTTCTTTATATGTATACTCACCTTTATAATATTCTATAATTAATCATTTACAACATTTAGTACCTAATTCTACAATAAATACATATGCTGCCTTCAATACTAACATTTTACCATTTTAAATAATTAAGTAAAACTTATGCTGCAACTAAATAACAAGCTTAAATTTCATATTCAATTTTCCTTTGAGATAATCATTAACTTTCTTTTTCTAGACATATTTTGATAAATGTTCAAATTTTTATGTGTGGTAATATATAAAACAATAAACAATAATACTAGAGTTTTTCGTTTTACGGATATTTATGGATAGTGTTTTACTCTCTGTTTTTTATACAATTAATCATTTGTAATATTTAGTACTTACTTCCATAATAAATACACGCTCTGCCGTTAATATTCAGTCGATGTTGTTAACTGTTTATGTATAAGATTATTTAAATAAATCAACAGAGATCTATGCAATGGCTTTCTTGATACAGAAATTCACACGATGAAATATAATTACTAAACGAGTTCTAATTTTTGTTATGGGCGTTTATCGCACAATATTTTAAATATTTCCTATAGGCCTCGTTTACCGTAGACGTTTATTGAAGAAATTGCAATTTTAATTTGAATAAATTATAAGTAATTAATTATTATACTATGGTTCCGTTCGTTTTGTGTGGTATTTGATCTATATAAATCGCTAGAAGAAAGTTTCCCACGAAGGGCGATAGTTAGGTTTTTCTCGCGTACAACCAGTTCTTTTAGCGCTACGTTTATTACTGGTTACTTTCTGCTAGTACACAGACATATTAGTCGATAGAATGCGACGCCTTATACCAAAAATCAAAAAACGTTATTTAATACCTAAAATAGGTTCACGTATACTGTCAACTCGTGTTCACACACCCTATAAATAAATATAATTTTGCAACTGTTTTAATAATTAACAAAAATGTGATAACAATCGCATATATTATTTATGCAAAAGTTGCACTTTTCTCATCAGTTCATAAAAAATAAAATAACCAATAGAAAATATACCAGTTTGTAGATCTTAATAGAAATCGGTACAGGAGTACTTTGAAGGCTACCGATACAGAATAGCGTATGTTATTAGTTTTAGGATAAAAAAATTGTTAATGCATATTTTCAAAAATTTCCGCCTAAATTATCGTAGGAAGCATAGGATCTGCGTTAGGAAAGCTGTACTTTCCAAACTAAATAATAAAAAATTACACCTATAAATTGGAACGCCTTCCTTTTTATATTAAATATGAACAATCCTTTTTTTATAATATAAAAAAATGGAGGTACATTATTTAATTTACTTACATATATTATTCAAATACTAGAACAAAATTTTCTAAAAAGTATATTACAAATAAATTAAAACCTTTATCATCTATGTTATAACTTTAACTTACTTCCCAATATATAAAACATTCGTAAATTTTACTCTGTATAGGTATATTTCAAGAAAGATTTTGTCTTTCTAAAATGCCATAGAATTGTTTTTCTCAAATAGATACATTTAAATATTTGTTATATGAAACATCCCGAAGTATATTCTTTTCAAACTGAAGCGTTTGGTGCTTCTTCCATCAAATAGAAATTCAGTTTTGTTAGACCAATCGTGTTGTTGGGATTCTTCCTCTTCCTGAAAATCTAGCTAGACCAACATCTCTCGGGTCGAGTTAAGGGTCCTTTTATTCCTACAAAGTTCTATAATTTTGATTTAAGTCCAAGTATGACCTTGTCAAGCTTTAAATAAATTAAATTCCAATAGTTCCAGTTCAAAATATCGCTCATATAGTTTTTCCTTTGTAGTTTCTCTATTTCTTTCTTTTCCCCTAGAAAATCCTGTTACAGTTTAACATTTAATTTGCATTTGACTTGTTAGGTGTCCAAGAATCCTTTTTTTAAATCCACCTCTGTACAACACGAGTCGTCTCGTTTAAGTATGATTAATTTTTAATTAAAATTGTGCAATAAAATAGTTTAAATACAAATGATAAGAACATACTCAAAGTGGAAGATACTGGCAAACATGTTCAAATGTTCCAATTTATAGCAAATCATGATTATCAATTTCAAAATTATTATTAAATGTACTAATATACAAATATTGAAGAATTCAAGAAAATAAATTCATATATCAATTTCTTATAGGTACCTACTTGTATCGACTATTATCTACCCAATAAATTTAGTTTCGATCAAATATATCTAGACAGATGTGTTTCTGACCTTTGTAGAGTTACTTGAACTTATGTTTTCTTCTTTGATGGAGTATAAAAACTAGAATGTTATAATAGCAATTTTCTTGTTAGGATTTTTATTATGAGCCCATCATACATTCAAAGTTGGAATAAATGTTGATACTCGAAAGTTGATATTTTACTTCAGCAAC